GGGGGGGTGCGTACCCCTACGGTAATGCCGCCCCCGACTATAACAAGCCCTTTACTTTACTTAGGACTACCGGAAATTGTTCGAGGGTGCTGGAAATAATCCCGGAGAAAAGACCCTGGAAGATCGATTCTTCGAACACGAAGTGAAACTGAATACGCTCGCGTTCGAGCGACAGTTTCACTTCGGCGTCTTCTACGCATTTGTTAAGTTGAAGGAGCAAGAGAATCGTAACGTCGTGTGGATTGCTGAGTGTATTGCACAGAGGAATAAAGCCAAGATTGACAACTATATACCAATATTTTAACAATGGGATCTCGGTCGTACTAACATTCTGCTAAATTAATAGAAATATCATATAGAAATTAATTAATGAACCAATGGGGTCAGGTAAAAGTGCTTTTGTATTGCATTACAAATGGTATAGTCAACCTTGAATGAGATCAGAGTTATTGGAGGCAAGGGTCTCAACACTGGGGGGATGGGGGGACACATCCCCCTCTCCACTGTTTGGGGTGGGGGTAGGTATATGATACATGTAAATAGTTTGTCAGCATTAATTGTGGTCCATTGACATCATTCTTATTTCTTTAAAAAAATTGATCTTCCCAATGAGTTTTACAACTTCTGCGCAGCGCTCGAAAAAAGTCAGAATTGAGGACGGCAAAATTGAAGGCCTGGAATATCTTTGAATTTGTGAAGAAGTGCTTGAAAGTCCCTAAATTTTTCTTGCTTTAGTTTATGGATATTTTGTGAAATTGTTTGACATTCAAAAACGTAGATTTTGATTTTTGTTGAATTGATTTTGCATGTTCATATCTGACAAAGCTGGTTTGAAACTCATTAAAGATTAAAGTTGCGTTTTGAACAATTCAACGTCACAATTTACTGATTTCTAACGCCTTTTCTTCAGTATTTAGTGCTTGAATTTTTCCACACTCGTTGAATCTAGATAAAAAATTTCAACAGTTTTTTGTGGCCTTTCATAATTGAGTGATTGACCCCTGAAATCGAGGCCCGATTCAAGATAACATCTCGGTGTTTAATTTGTTTTCAATACACAAAAATGTTTTTTTTGCATTCGTAAAACATTTCTGTGTTTTGTATTTGTATACAGCCTCGGCCAATGGACCTTTCCCCTTATAACTAAAATTTCGATCTAGACAAAAATTTCATCACAGCTTGAAAGAGCATCACAAAATTAGTAATATTCCAAAGTTTTGTTGCAAAATCTTGTAAAATGCGGATAATATAGCCTTGCGAAGTTTGCCGTTTTTCAGTCATTTTGTATTACAAACGGGAAATTGTGACATCCGATTCGGGTGTTGGGGCTGCAATTTCCCGTTTGTAATGCAAAATGACTGAAAATTGCAAACTTCGCAAGGCTCTATTTTCCTCATTTTACAACATTTCGCAACGAAACTTTGGAATATTACTAATTTTTGTGATGCTCTTTCAAGCTGTGATGAAATATTTGTCTAGACTTGCCTAGATCAAAATTTTGGTTATAAGGGGAAAGGTCTATTCAAGAAAGATTGTCCTTTGCAAACGTTAAACTATAAGCACGCAAAGCTTAATGGGAGCACATGTTTCGAGCTCAGTAGTTGAATATTGCAGCTATTTGTGAATGAATTGTTCTCGTAAGGAGATATTTACTATGTCTCTAAGAAATGGGCCATATATGATTTCTAAACTGATTAAATTAGATGCTCCCATTATGCTTTGCACGCTTAGAGTTTAAGATTTAGTGTTTAAAGTGGAAGTCAAGTCCGTAATGTAAACAAACGGTTTGTTTACATTTTGAACTGCTGTATTTTTTAAAATACGATGTACTGTCTGAATATCTAACACAATTTTGGTTCGCTATGCTTCTAAATGAATATGAAATAGAGTTTATGTTCAGAAAAATTCGAAACATTCGAAATTTGGGCAATGTTCACATTAGAGGTCCTCACATTGTTATG